TACAAAGAAAGGAGAGGGTGCATGATTGCAAATGAAGCTGATGATATAAAATAGAAGGGATTGGAGAAAGATGGGGGAAAAGAAAAAGGAGCACATGAAGTAATTTTAACTTGGAAGTTACATCATCTATCCATTCGCATGGATGGAGTTCAAATTTTCAAATTCATGAAGAGGGCATACATCAAATCAACATAACATTTGTTATAATTTCAAATTCATGATTAGGACCAGACCAATACTCAGCTTGAATTAGTTTATTCTTCAAACAAGATGTGAAGAATAGTGCAATATAAAAAAAAAAAAAAATCAACATAATTTTGTTATAAATATTATAAATATAACGTTACAACTACATTATTTTGGACCGTAATTCACACAGCTGTGTGGACCATGTATGGTCAAGTATACATAATTCATGTTCATAATACACATACACATAAATACGATATAATGAACATTAATTTTGTGCATTATAGACATGAATTTTGTGTAATATATAGCTGAGAACACATAAACACTTAACATAGTACACAGAATTCATATTTATTATATCGTGTTTATGTGTGTGTATTATGAACATGAATTATGTGAATTGTGAAGTTAAATTCTATGTATTGGATCAGAGTTCACGATATAATTTGCCCAAATCCTCAACAAATTATTGTATTATGTGAACCATAACAAAAAATACATTTTTAATATACTAAACTTGATAGTACTAATTCCTCCCGGTATACAAATGTATGTACTGTATGTATGTATATAGATCGTGTATATATAATGTATAAGCAATACATGAAGGTAGGAAGAAGACGGAAACCCTTTTATTCATATGAGTTTTTGTGTGTTTTCTTGTAGAGAGAAGGAAGAGAGCAAGTTAGCTGAAAGCATACAGAGAGAGCTGAGAGAGTCCATCCCCTAAACTAGTGGGCTAGAAGTCCTTTTATAGGGCTATCGAGGTGGCGAGTTTGACCCGTCACCTTTGATCCCGATCTGTAGGTCAAGACCCGAACCGTCAGACCCAACCTGATTGCAAGCGAAGGCAGGACCCGGAGTATATAACCTATCAAAATTAAATGTACATTATTTTTGTACTGAATGTACATTATACAATATAATGTACACTCAGTACAAACATAATGTACATCCCCTGAATAAAATGTACATTATTTTTATGCTGAATGTACATTATTTTTGTACTAATTGTACATTATTTTATAGTATACAAAATATGATCCACACAACTTGTATGGACCATGGTCTACACAATAAGGCAAATTATGCCCTGGACCCGTGTCCACAATTCATTGTGGACACGGGCCCAAAACGACATCGTTTTTTAAAAAAACGCGTCATTTAGTTAAAAAAAAAAAAATCGCGCGCGTTTTGTCGTTAACGGCGTTATTTTTTTTTTTATTTTTTTTTTTTGGATTATGAATGAACAGTTATGCCGTTATGAATGTACAGTTATGCAATTATGAAATTATGAACACAGAGCTCTAACATTATGAACTTACAATTATGAACATATAGTGATAAAATTATGACCATGGAGCCTTAAAATTGTGAATATAGAGCTTCGAAGATTATGAATGTACAGTTATAGAGTTATGAATCTACAGTTATGTAGTTATGAATCTACAGTTATGAGATTATGAATCTACAGTTATGAGATTAAAAAAAAAAAATCAGATTCGATTCCCAGCAACAACATATGAACTAAAATTCCATAATCGATGAACTATGATTCCATAATCTAATCTATGAACTAAAAATTCCAGAATGAATGAACTAAAATTCCATAATCTATAAACTACAATTCCATAATCGATGAACTATAATTCCATAATCAATGAACTATAATTCCATAATCTATGAACTAAAATTCCAAAATGAATGAACAATATAATGTTGTTGCTGGGAATCGAACCTGATTTTTTTTTAAAAGGGAGACGCGCGTTTTTTTTTAATAAAACGACGTCGTTTTGGCATCCGTATGCACCATGCATGGTGCATACGGATGCACAGCATAACTATCCCAATAATGATTGGAGCCAGGCTGGGCTAGATGGGCTAGCAGAACTTCTCTGGCGCATGGGCCCAATGTGCAGACTAAGTCGTGTTGGCTGGCCCACCGCGCAGGGCATTGGACCACGTCGCTTGGACCGGATTGAGATATATTCGGTTTGGCTCCGAATTTCGCTCCGGGTATAAGGGCAATTTACTTTATTGCTCAATTATTAATGAATATTTAATTACCAAAAATATTTATGTAATCTACTCCGTATAAAACTATATACTAAATGGTCGTCATAAATTCAAAGGATATAAAAGGACACAACCGGAGGGTGGCTTCACCGGACGGGAGCAAAAAGAGAAGCAGAACGACGATGGGAGAGAGCGGAAGAGTTTTAACGGAGTCGCCGGCGGATCACCGCCACCACCTCAACGCCAATTCTACCTCCGATAACAATAATAATAATAATAATATTAATCATAATAATAATCATAACTCAATTCCCCATGCTCCGCCACCGACTGATCGCCCCGTACGCGTCTACGCCGACGGGATCTACGATCTCTTCCATTTCGGCCATGCCCGCTCCCTCGAACAAGCCAAGAAATCGTTAGTGTTTTCCACTTTTTCCTTTTATTTTCGCAATTGTTTCCATGCCGTCTATCTGTTTGCGTTTTTGTTTTCCTGCAAAAAAAATACGAACTCTTCGCTACGCTTTTCTCCATAGTGAGCATTTATTTGGTTTCCTAATTCGAGCAAATTCGTTCATTCGATTCCGTTTATGATAATATAATAGGCATCTGATTCCGCATTTGATGTTTGTAGGTTCCCAAACACGTACTTGCTGGTGGGATGTTGCAACGATGAAACCACGCACAGGTTCAAGGGTAAAACTGTCATGACCGCGGAGGAGCGTTATGAGTCCCTCCGCCATTGCAAGTGCGTTTTTCGCTCTTTCTTTCCATACTTGAGAAACGAAATTTTTGTCATATGCTCTTGTCTTGTGCTTTCTCATGGAATTCAATCTTTAGCCTAGAAACATTTAAAATATTCAGCCTCATTTTTGAGGCATTTGCTAAAGGCATTCTACTGTTGAGAATTTGTATAGCTATTATGAGTGATGGAGAATGTGCTTTCTAGGCTATACTAAATGCAATGTTTCATGCTTTCTTTGCGTTATATATAAAGTTTTTGTGTGATAAACTGAAATATGAACATTTTCTTCCCCACCCCACTTTTACAACTGGTAGGTGGGTTGATGAAGTTATTCCGGATGCCCCGTGGGTGATAAATCAGGAATTCCTTGACCATCACCGGATTGATTTTGTGGCCCATGATGCTCTTCCGTGAGATTTCTCAACTTGTTGTCCTTTCACTTTTACTTGCTTAACAGTTAACAGCCCTCCAAATTATTTTTTACATGTTTTTGTTTTTTGTGGTAGATTATGTTTTTCATCTTGTTTACTTCCAACATTTACAGTTATGCTGATGCTAGTGGAGCTTCAAATGATGTATATGAATTTGTATGTGTAGTTTTCACCTTCAGTGCATTTAAAAATTCGTCGTTTTTCAGCTTGATATCACCTATGATTACATACTTGTTTGTATTCACGTACCTGAAGTCAAGGATTCTCTTTATAGGTGAAAGCTGTTGGGAGATTCAAAGAGACAATGCGTACTGAAGGAATTTCAACTTCAGACATTATAATGAGGATAGTTAAAGATTATAACCAATATGTCATGCGCAATTTGGATCGTGGATATTCGAGGAAGGATCTTGGGGTCAGCTACGTAAAGGCATGTTCTTTTTTGGGATTTCAGTTATGACTTTATGTGTTAGTGAATATATATGGCCTTCTGCAAGGAGTTGGTGAGTCATTGATTCTTGTAAGCAGGAAAAACGCCTGAGAGTGAATATGAGATTGAAGAAGTTACATGACAAAGTTAAGGAACATCAAGAGAGAGTGGGAGAAAAGGTATGTTCTCTTTTTGTGGGGATAATGTCCTATAAATGCACTGCGGAATGGCTACTTTATGTTCACATAAATCCTGTTTCCCAGAGATAATCCACATTAGAGAATGAACTTGTAAACTCCAACCCTGAACCTTGCTTACAAGTTACTGAAAAGTATACTTCTATTTACTGCTCAATAGTAAAATTACTTTTTTCTGATCGCTGTAAGGATTAGCTTAATTTGTCATGGTCCTGTTGACCAAACCCCCTATAATGTCATGATTTCCGCCTTCCTGAAGATATAGTAGTCTACATTCTGAAAACTGCATATTTCTTGTGTTCTATTCTTGTGAAGAGGGTCTATTGTATCTTAAACTATATGTGTGAGTTTATATTGCAAAAAACTGGTTGGAACTATTACTATCTGATAAGCATTAGGTAATCAACACTTTTGGTTGGCATTTCTATATTAAGCAGACTATGGTTTTTTCTCCATACATCATTTTGCATTATGCTCAACCGTATGAGAGTGACATTTGTTTCCTGACATTATTCAAGATTCAAACTGTTGCAAAATCCGCCGGTATGCATCGCAACGAGTGGATTGAGAATGCTGATCGGTGGGTTGCTGGGTTTCTTGAGATGTTTGAGGAGGGTTGCCATAAAATGGTAAGCAGAACAGATGTCACTTTATTCCAAAGCACTGGGGTTTTGAGTCATTTCATATAACCATAATTCTTCATATTTGTTCTCTATTACTTACCAGGGAACTGCCATAAGAGATCACATTCAAGAAAGGTTAATAGGGCAGCAGCAAAGAGCCCTGCTGCGAAATGGTAGTAAAGATTACGATGGTGATGATGAAGATGATGAATACTATTATGATGAAGAGGATGATGATGAGGAAGATGATGAGTCAGAGGAAGACGAAGATGATGAGTATTATGACGATGTGGAGTGCCATTAAGTTACAGACCTAAAGAAATGACTCTAGGACGTAAATATAGCAATGCTCTTTTCATCACAGTATAAGTAAACTACTATATCTTGTGGAATTAAGAATTGTAATTAATACACAGCTTTTTAAATAAATACTTTTTACTGGAAAAAGTCTTTCAGGAGTAATTAGGAATGTGGAATGCGATTGATATGGTTAAGGACACATGATCTACACTCAATGTGGTAGGCTCTTGTGGACACACGATATTTCATGATTTACTCCTTCACTATTCTGCTGGTCTGGGACGATTTTGCCTGGTGGGCAAGATCATTGATAAAATGCCCCAAGAAATTGTATGAAGAGCCACCTTCCAACAAGGCTAATCGGCTCTTCTCCTTCATATCTTTCATTTTCTTCCTGATGATTCTTCCGTGATCCCCATTGCTACCGTCCTCCATGAGTTTCCTTATCCCACACTCAATCTCATCTGCGCTGACAATGACCGGACTTTGAATATTTCCGTCGTCTTCTTCTTCTTCCGGGGACTTTAGGGTGTCACTTCTGTACTCCATCTTGATATCGACACCCATCTCCAGCTCCACCACAAGCTCAAAAGCGTTTATTTGTTGCTCTGCGTACATTGGCCACGCCGCCACCGGCACTCCGCACCACACACTTTCTAAGATGGAATTCCAACCGCAGTGAGACACAAAGCCTCCGATGGACGGGTGGGATAGCACCATCATCTGCGCCGCCCATCCGATCACCTTGCCTCTAGCCTGAGTACGCTCCAAGAAGGTTTCCGGCAAGATTTCCTTCGGATCCGAATAGTCTCCGGGCGCCCCGATTTCTCCCTTCACTTTCGGCCGCCGTAGGCACCAGAGGAAGCGCCAGCCGCCGCGCTGGAGCGCGGCGGCTATCTCCTTCACTTGCTCTGCGCTGAAGCTCCCGTAGCTCCCGAAGCACAGGAACACCACCGAAGAAGGCGGTTGCTCATCCAACCATCTCTTCACCTCTTCATCATCGCCGCCGCCGCCGGGGTGATTGATCAGCGGCCCTACAGGGTATACGGACGGGAACTTCCCGTCAGATAGGGATGCAATCGCGTGCGCCTCTAGCTCCAAGAACGTGTTAATTAGGATTCCTTTTGCTCTTCTGATCATTCGAGCGCAGTGTTGGACCAGCAAAAGGCCATATTTATCCAGCATTGGAGTAGGCAAGACCTTAGCCGGAACAGGGTGGGAGAAACTCGGAACCGCCAGCTCTGCTTCCGAGTCACGGTAGTCGGAAATGTCCCGGCCGTGGTCGTCTTTGAGCGTCTGGGCGTAAAATTTGAGGCCAAGAAAGCCAGCGCCGGAGGTATAAAACACGTAGCTGGGAAGTCCAAACTCATCGGCAACATCAATCATGTCTGCACTGAACATATCCACAACAACACCTGCAATTACTCGACCGGAGCCGGAGAAATCGGAGATCACATCCCTCACAGCCGGCTTGTGAGCAGAGATATGGTCAAAAGCATTAATATCCTGGGCACTGGAACTAGCTGCTGCGTTTTCACGGCGTTGAGGCGGCGGCGGAGGGAGACTGAGAAAGCGTAAGCGACGAGCGCCGGCGGCATCTTGCGAGAGAGACTGCGTATATGAGTCGACGCCGGTTCCAAATGGAACGCCGATTATGAGGAAAGTGACAGAAATCCATTCCGCTCTACTGGTTAACAGCTTCCCCATCTCCACAGCTGGTACAAGATGACCCATTCCATGGCCCGGAATGAAAATCACCTCTGCGGCGTTCTCCATCTTAATTTTGCGCCCAAATCGCTTCTATCTGCAACTGCAATACACACAGCCTGAAAGATGATTATTCTCACTTTCTACAAACCAAATAATTATGAAAGAAACAAAACAAGAAAGAGACGATGAGTTTGGGAAAGGTGTTGGCCCTACACCAACCTCTCATATTGGAGCTGAGGTTGGAATGAGGGCAGTACATTCATAGAAGTGGTGACTGGTGAATCATTTCTACCTTCCTCTTATATTTTTAATTCACAATTTGATCCTCAACTTTCAACTATTGATTGAACCCAATTAAATCCTTAATTATTCAAAATTTACCTAAATAGGTCCTCTGTCAATTTCTCCGTCTAAATTCCATCAACTTTGAGGTCAAAAGCGTAATTTATCATTTTATCTTCTTCACCATTGCGGCATTGCCTCCGTCCTTTCTTACGTCGCCTCCCTGCACCATCTCAAGAAAAAAAAAAAACAAAAATCTTCTTTCAATTAATATTGGTTTATTTGCTACAGGTTTTCCAGATGTTCGTAGTTCATCTTTTGCTTTTTCAGCAACCTTTACTGCAGCGAAGCGAGCTCGAATTCGAACCTGGCTTCAAATTCAGATAGGCTGTAATTGAGCTCGTGTTTATTCCCTTCGCCGGCGTTGTACCTGGGTTCAAATTCAGACGTTGTACATCAAGCTCGGCGTCTTTAGATAGCCAGAACGACTTCGGCGGCGCTTCCCTTCCGGCATCATCGTCGGGACCATCTTCCTTGTGTACCGCATTATCTTCCACAAATGTTTCGCATGCGATTTTGAGAAAACTTACTGCATAACCTCAATCTTTTGGAAGTATTGAGTATTAGTAGGCAATGCTGCCTACAAGCCTTTCAATATTGACTCTTTTCCAATATCTACACATATATAATATATTGTTGTTGTCCTAAGCTTGTCTCTTCAACAAAGCATGGAAAATTTTAAAGTTTTGTCAATAACACAGGGGTGCCCAGAACTGCAAATTAAAGGCGATATGATCAAGAAAATGGGGAGCACTAGTGTGACATTGGTTGTATCCCAATCTGATAAGGCCCATTATTAGTCAGTTAGATAATACAGAGTCTGTTAGAGCTTTTTATGTAGCTGTTACCTATTTATCTGTTAGTCTCCTGTGTATAAATAGGCCTGTGTATTCCTCTGCTAAAATAATATATACGAACATACAATTCTATTCATTAACTTGGTATCAGATTACCGTTTCGATCCTATGGCCACCGATGAGAATCCCTCCCCTACCCCTGACTCTACCGATGGTTCTACCGATGGTTCCACCGCGGCGGCTGCCAGCTCCGACCATCGCCCTCCTAATATGTTACAACAAGCCCACCACTACGTGTCTCTAAAACTCACCTCGACCAACTACCTATTCTGGAGAGCGCAATTGGTGCCTTTCTTGCAAATTTTAGACGGAGGAATTGACCGAGGACCTAATTGGGTAAATTTTGAATAGTTGAGGATTTAATTGAGTTCAATCAATAGTCAAGGATCAATTTGTGAATTATGCTATATAGTCGAGGGACTATTTTGGGTATTTACTCTATATTTTTCAACCACTTCAATTTTTCACTCTTTATTAAATGCACCACGGCCACCACTTTAAGACCATAGCCATAGAACCTTTTGTAAAATAGTAGGGGGTGTTTGATAAATAACTATTAGCTAATTAGGTTAGTATGTTTGATTAATCGATAGTGTTGGTAGTCGATGATAAAAAAAATATTTGATAAATTAGCTATTAATTAGTTAATTACATACAAAATAACTTTCTTAATTTTTTTTTTTTTGAATTTTAGTGTTTTGGAACAATAAGATGTTACAAAAAATTAAGGAATAAGGTTCAAATTGGCCACTGAACGTAACCTGAAAATGCAATTAGGCCACTGAACAAACAAAAAGTGCAATTAGGCCACTGAACACTCCAAAAACGTGCAATTAGGCCACTGAACTCTCCAAACGTATGCAATTTCACCGGATAGCAGGTTACCATCAATTTTAGCAGGTTACCTGCTTACGTGGCAGCTGAGTTGGCATTTTTAATAATTTTTAAATAATTTTTAATAATTAATTTTAATAATAAATTTTATAAAAAATTGAAAAAAAATTAAATAAAAAAATAAAATAAAGTCATTTTTATTTTTTTTAAAATTTTTTAAAATAAAAATTTAAATAAAAAATAAAATAAAGTCATTTTTATTTTTTTAAAATTTTTTTAAAATAAAAATTTATTATTAAAATTTATTAAAAATGCCAACTCAGCTGCCACGTAAGCAAATAACCTGCTATCAGGTGAAAATGCACATTTTTGGAGTGTTCAGTGGCCTAATTGCACTTTGTTTTCGTTCAGTGGCCTAATTGCATTTTCAAGTTACGTTCAGTGGCCAATTTGAACCTTATTCCAAAAATTAATTAAGCAAGTACTATATTAGCTATTTAACCAAGTCAAACATCTAATAATGGTCAAATAAGTCAAAATTGATTGATAAGCCTAAAAATTAATTTACACCTAGTACAATCCAAAATTTATGTCTAATTGTACCATTTAGTGTTCCCACAATGCTTGGTGTAATTGTGTAACGTATTGAAGCTATAGGCTTTGTTTAGCGTACTTAATTTATAAGTTAGCTTAAAATTATGTTTCGCATATATGGCGTAAAAGCTAGTTTGAAATTAAAAGTATAAAAGTTAGTAGCATTTTTAAACGTTATTTAAAGTAGTGTTTCAAAATATATTATTATTTTAAAATCTTTATATTTTTACCAAACTGAACTTATGACTTATTTGTATGTTAAAATAATCTAAATGTTCTAAAATAAGATCTAACAAGTAGAGTCTAAAATTGAAAACTTTAAAACTAGTAGCTACTAGCTTAATTTTGAAACACTACCTAAAACAACGTTTTAAAATAAATAATTATTTTAAACTCTCTATATTTTACTTTCAAAAAAAAAAAAACTATCTATATTTTACTAAATAAAATTTATAGCAAAATCATAGAGTAATTCAATTGGTTCAATAACTCAAACAAGGCTCACAAGGAGTAACTTTTACAATATGGTGAAACTCATACATTACAAATGTCATAATTCAATTATGTGTCCTTAGATCAGTTGAATGTAATCTTCCACATGAGAGCCAACTAAGATAATCGTGAACACACACACACACAAGTTCAGGTGCGGCAGACCCTTCCCATGTGGCGGTGCGGCATCACCAATAGTTAAAGGCAAATATCACATTATCAACGTTAGGAAATGCACCACAAAAACACACACAAATTAGATACGCATCACAAAAAACACACCATTTGAGGTGTTGAGTTATAATGTGTATTTTTTTTAGGTGTGTTGTGTATTTTTAGTATATTTTTGCATTTCATTGTGGTGTGTTTTCCTTAAACTGTTGGTTTATTCTGAAACTCCGTCGCACCGCAGCACGAGAAGGGTCCGTCGCATTTGAACTTTTTTCTATATATATATACTCCCACAAATATATCTTGTCCCTTGAGAGTCTATTTCTATGTATTGGTCTCATCGGCATCTCTCTTTTCTTGTTGATATTTATTTTTGAGGATCTAAATTATTAGTGATATTAATGAGGTTCCCAAAGAACATTACATTGTATCACTGTATAGTAAGAGTTGTGCTTGAGGTACAAGCTAAGATAACCAACAAAAAATGTTCACATACATAAACTGGTAGGTCATATTGTTTCATCTCCGTCGTCTCTGAACACTCCAAACATGAAGAAAGCTGAACTTCTCTTCGTCCCTGCACCGCTGGTAGGTCATATTGTTTCCATGGTTGAACTTGCGAAGCTCCTACTCGATCGAGACGACCGTTTATCCATAACAGTGCTAGTTATAAAGCATCCGGCGGACCCTATTGCTAACACAGTCGTCCAAAGTGTTGTCTCCTCCGATGCCAGAATCCGCCACTTAAACCTTCCGGAAATGGAGCCACCGCCGGAAGAAATGGCTGTCAAATCCCCTGAGAATTGCATGGGCACCTATATAAAGAGCTATAGGTCCCATGCAAAACACGCGATCGTCAATACCGTGCTCTCGTCGGATTCCGGCGAGGCCCCGGCGCTCGCCGGGATTGTATTTGATTTTTTCTGCAGTTCCATGGTTGACGTGGCGAATGATCTCGGTGTTCCTGCTTACCTGTTTTACGCCTCTGGCGCCGGGTTTCTCGGCGCACATCTTTACTACACGATCCGGGAGATCCTTGTCGGACGAGAATATACTTTGTTGGATCCGGACTCGGTGGTTTCCACTTTTGCAACGCCGGTTCCGGCTAGAGTTATGCCCACGGTTGTGTTCAACGACGATGGGTACAGATCATTTGTCGAACATGGAAGGAAGTTCAGAGAAACAAAGGGGATGATCGTAAACACGTTTGCAGAAATGGAACCATTTGCTGTGAAAGCTTTAGAATCCGACCCGGATCTGCCCCCGGTTTACACCGTCGGACCGCTGCTCGCACCTCAGAAGGAGCACGCAGGGAAGGAAGAAATCATCAACTGGCTCTCGGAGCAGCCGCCGTCGTCGGTGGTGTTCCTCTGCTTCGGAAGCCAGGGAGGGTTCGAGGCGCCGCAGATACACCAGATCGCGACGGCGTTGGAGAGGAGCGGGCGCAGGTTCTTATGGTCGATTCGCCGGCCGTGCTCCTTAACAAGCTCCGAGCGAGCCAGCGACTTCACCAGTTTCGACACGATTTTGCCGCCGGGATTCGCGGAGAGGACGAGAAACAGGGGGAAGGTTTGCGGGTGGGCCCCGCAAGTGGAAGTTCTGGCCCACCGCGCCACGGCGGCGTTCGTGTCCCACTGCGGCTGGAACTCCACTCTGGAGAGCATGTGGCACGGTGTTCCGATGGTGACGTGGCCCATCTACGCCGAGCAGCAGACCAACGCGTTTCAATTGGTGAAGGAGCTCGGGCTGGCGGTGGAGCTGAGGGTGGATTACCGGAGGACGCAAGATTCAGAGAATGTTGTAATGGCGGAGGAGATAGAGAAAGCGATACAGAGC